AAGCCTGTAAGAATGACTGAGAGCAGCAAGCACTGGCACTTCCTAATTCTTAGACCTCCCCAGGGCAGCTGGCCTCAGCTCAGGTCCTCCCTCTTTGCTCCTCTGTTAGCATCACTTGAGCCTTACACATCAGTTTTAGAACCTGCACCTCGTGCCAGACCTCCCCATATCATCTGCCAGATAAAAATCCGTTATCTTATAGCGAGGAGATAAGGAGATTCAACTTGCAGGCTCACTGTTTCTCAGATACAGATAAAAAAACAGACCAAAGCACAGACATACAGCTGTTCTTCCTTGGAAGAGAAATCCAGCTCCTCCAGAGGCTTCCACAGACAGACAGGAACCAGAGGGCTCCATGAGAAGTGGCACAACAGCCAATTCCAGGCCTGCTCTCCACGCCTGCCATGCTCCTTGCAGGCACTGTTGGAAGGGCTGTTCTATTTCCAACAGAAAACCAAGCATCTGAAGACACGACCACAAGATAACCAGGGAACCAGGAAATCGAGAGGAGCAGAATGAACAACAGCTCTCGGAAGCTTCAAAGCTGAGCACTCCTTAAGAAGAGGATTTGATGCTGCAGAGGGACGGCAGCCTACACAGACTGGTCAGTGCCAGGCCAGCCCCTCACTCACAAACCACCCCCCGCCCTCCAGTCACCTCATTAGATGCTTGGACTGGAAGATCTTGGAAGGCTTTTCCAACCCTCTGCTTCTATGATCCCACGACAGCACGTCCAGCAGCATCCAGCCCAACGCCACCACAGCTCTTTATTTAGTGGTCTCTAAGCTGTTACAGTCTGCAAGTTATTACATAGCACTTAGCAGCATCTTCAGCATTAAAACCTTGGTTCCTGATAAGCAGGGCTAATTACTTTTAATTTACTTTTTATTTTTTTTAGATCTCGTGCAACGCGTTAAGAGACAACGGGGACTCATTTTGCCATCTGTATTTGTATTCGTGCCCTTCAGACTTGCTTGCAATAAAAGCTGCACCATAAAGCCACGTGATGGACGAATCTTGGTGACAGTGCCCCAGCATTCCAATCTGCTCACTCAAAAATGGGCATAAGCAGACACGTCCACCCGCCAGACAGAACTAAAGCTGGTCTGTTTGATCAGATACCATATTTACTGTGAGCCACCCTAGCACAGGTGACGTATGCACTAACTGATGTGACCCAGAAATCTGAATTTCTTCGACTCGAGGCATGAGGACTGATGAAAGCCACCTGATAAAACAAAATCAAAGGCAGCAGGAAGCAGAGCATTTTTCTTTTTTCATACAATAGCTTTATCTAATCCCCCAGCACTGAGCTCTCTGCTTTTTCAGCAAAGATTAGCGTATTTAAAAGTACTAAACTCCATAATCTCTGATCATTGAGAAAAGTAATTCAATTAAGGCGAGGGCTGGTGAAGCTGCCTTCTTGCTGGCTACCTAACGCCGCATCCTTGTACTACAAGCTGGGGAACAAAATGAGACGGAGAAGGAAAGAGAAGCTTCTTTGAGCTGGACAGGGATTAAATTGCAGGCTGGTGATGGATCCACACGGAGCTGAGCGCAACCACTGCCATGGAGAGGCAATGACTTGCAGTAAATCCTGGAAGGAGCTGCCAGTGACCTTCTGCCATTGCACGGAGCCGCAGCAGGGTGTCATTGCTCGAGGAGCTGCCACAATGAAAGCACCAAGGGAAGGGGGTGGAAGAAACCACGGGCAATGGAAAGGCTTTGGAAACTTGGGAGCGAAGGGAGAAAGGGCTTTAAAAACCTACCAGCATCTTAGCATAGAGAATCTGCAGCTGGCAGCAAGCAGCACTAGCAGGAAGAATCGCTGCAGTCACACGGAGCAGAGCTACCACAATATGGCTGAGGACAGCAGCAGAAACCTGACTGCATCCACAGCAACCTCAGTTTCAGATGCAAATAAAGCATCTCCAATCACTCCCAGGTCTTACGTGGCAATCGCTGGCCACACAATCGCACCTCGGGGCTGCAAAACACGCACAGCAATGAACTCATTAGGGATTTCTTAACCAAAACATACTTATTTATTGAAGAGACTGCATGCAGTCAGCACTGACGGTCTGATCTTAGCTCGCTGTGGCTGCTCAGCCAGCTACTGCTGCATCGCAGCCCTTGGTAACACCTCATTTGCCATAGTGAAGCCCCTGAATGTAAATGAAAGAGAAGCATCCAGCATCCCCACAAGCAGCAGGAGAAGATCTTTGATTACGGCCTTCCAGCAGGGCAGGAAACCTTTCAGCTAAACAGGAAGCAAAGGCAATAATCCACTTCAACAGTTGTGGAAAGAGATATTCCCATTTGTAAGATCTGCTGTTGGAAATACACATAAAGATATTTCTCCTTAACCTTCAAAACGGAAAATGGCGAAGGGAGACACACGGATGTAAAACCCACTGGAACTCCCTTTGCAGGATGAGAGATGCCTCTGTATTACTGCCATGCTAACGAAGACCATTATTAGGACATTTATTCTTCCAGGAGCTGCATGTAATGGGAGAATCACAGAACTGCAGGGGTAGGAAGGGACCTCTGGAGATCACCCAGCCCAACCCCCTGCTAAAGCAGGTCCCCTATGGCGGGTTCATGAGCTACTCATGCTTCAGCCAGTATAAAAAAATACACAGAAACCCACAATGACAGCAGCATCTGTAGGGACCGAACCCCAAAACACAAAAAGCCATTTCCCCACTGCACTCAGAGCCACCTGGGCGCAGCGCAGCCACGGAGTCATCGCTCAGCAGCTGAGACAAAGGCAGGTCGGAGCCTCAGCACAGCTGCCAGCAGCTCTGAGTGCTTCGTTAAAGCCCCAAGGCATCTGCAAGCTGGTCACAGCAGCAGGGCTGGGTTTTTACAGTTATTAAATGCACGTTTCCTCAGGTTTTAGGACATTATTTAAGGCCTTGTATAGACACAAATGATTAGCTAAAAGGGGGGGGGAGAAGAATCAGGCTAGAGGAAGAAGGTATCTGAAAACATCTGTTTGAATAGAGAGATGGGAAATCCACATGTGAACGAAGAGCTGCTGAGATTTAAGGTCTGCATTGGCAGCTCCCACGGAAGCATAATTAAAGTCAGAAATACAGTAAAACACGCAAACGCACAGCTAGAGCTTTAAGTTCTCCTTGTTAATTAGCTGGGGATGAAGTAACGATTGAGAAAAATAAAGAAAAAAAGGACCAGACCACATCTGCACAACCCTCCTCTCCAAAAAACCTCCTAAGATGGCTGGCCAAACAGCACCCCAGCGAATGGATCAGCTGACTTACCCAAAAAGAAATGCCCAAGTTGAGGCTGAATTTGCTAATAGGAAGAAGAGATGGGGGAGGAAAAAAAAAAAAAAGAAAAAAAGCGATGATTTAAATGGGGCGGACAAAAGGAAATCGCCCACAGGAGGGGCTGGAGAGGCTCCAGGTCCATTCAACTCAATGGAGGGAGTGCGGGTCAATGCAATCCAACGGCAACCCCAGCCCCGAGCTGGGGGCTGCACGGCTGAGCACGTGAGAGAGACGGGGGGTGTGGGGAGAAAAAAGGAGAAGGAAAAGCGAGCCAACAAAACACGATGACGTGTTTCATCACTGAGAGCAAAGGTGGATCCAGCCCCGCACCTGGGGCGGCTCTTCCTTCACAGCGCTCGGCTGGTGCAGAAAACACCACAGAACGAAGGCGGCATCTCCTGCCAGAGATAAAACGCCGCAATTGGGGTCCGGTGAATCAGCAGCCGCCTCTGGAGATGGGTTTTTTTTTTTTTTTTTTTTTTTGGCTTTTTTGTTTTTGTTTTTTTTTTGTTCTTTTCGTTGAAATCGGCACACAGCAGCGCGCAGTTCCCAACCCAGCGGTAGCAGAGGGCAGGCAAGGGGCAACGGCTCTGCTACAGAGACCACAGGGAGGCGGGAAGGGAAAAAGGGAAGGGGAGGGGGGGGGGTGGGATCCCCTCACAGCGGCGGTTGGGGGATGAAGGGTTGGGGGATGGCGGGCACGGGCCGGGCCGTGACTCACCGCTCTGCTCTCCCAGGAACACCAGCTTGAATTTCCGCAGCGGGTTGCCGAAGTCCCCGCCCGCCGACATGATGATGGCACCGCTCGCTGGCTCTCGCTCCACTCCACGCGGTTGGGATCCGCGATTTTTCCTCTCTTTTTTTTTTTTTTTTTTTTTCTTGCCCTACTTCCTCCCCTCAGGATGCGGGTAGGGCCGTGGGATCGCTCCCCCGGCCGGGCTCGGGGAGGTGGACGGCGACGGATCGCGTCGTGCCGCTGCCGCTCCCCTCAGGGCCGGGCTCGGTCCGCCGCGCCGCTTCGCCTCACACCGCCGCCGGTCCCGCCCCGCCCCTGCGCACGCGCGGCTCCGCCCCGCCCCCTCAGCGAACGTCACGCCGCGCTCACGCCCCGCCCCTTCCCCTGAAGCGAGCCAATCCGAGCGAGAGGGCGGAGCTTAGCTCCCGGCTTAGGGTGGGGCGCCCATTTCAGACCGGAACGATGGCGGCGCGCGGTGCGTAGCTCCATGAGCGCTCAGACGCGTCAACTGAGCTCCAGTGTCTGCAGGGAAAGGGCACCACCGCCTCTCTGGGCATCCTGCGCCTCAACACACTAAATAACTTTTCTCTTATATCATAGAATGGCCTGGGTTGCAAAGGAGCTCAATGCTCATCCAGCTCCAAGCCCTTGCTGTGTGCAGGGTCACCAACCAGCAGCCCAGGCTGCCCAGAGCCACATCCAGCCTGGCCGCCTTCACATGCCGAGCTGTGCACACCGCAGTGAGGAGCAGGGATGGCATCCAAGCACTTCCCAGCTTGGAGAAGAGAAGGATATGGGGAGACCTCATGGTGGCCTTCCAGTACTTGAAGGGAGCGGATAAACAGGAGGGGGAAC